CTCTCATGACACCACGCCACTTCTGTTATCAGAATTCATAGTATCTCTGTTATGACACCTCTTCCTTCTCCACAACTCAGCTCAGAGCAATCACAGCACCTCTGTCAGCTGGGTACTCAGGACAGTGCCTCACACCCCCTTCTCATTGACTGGAAGCAAAGTCACTACACAGAAATAATAACGATCCTTATAGTCACAGCTTTCCCCAAACCTTTCCATCAGGCTTACTCTCTCACTCTAAGTCCTGCTTCAATAATTAGACGCACAGTACAGTGTCCAATGGCCCCTCTTGGGACAGATTTTTCAGTTAAGTCATATGCTACTTCTGATTGTCCCATAATAAGAGCTATTGACTTCAGTACCATAAAAGGCTTTTATGACAGTAGAAAACACAAATTAAAATGGAGGATGGGTTGGAATGGTCTTCTTCCTTGAAGCTCTCTCACCCTTATGAAGAACCTTCTCCTCTCTCGTACACAAGTGATTAGGCCTTATGTGTGCCCTATCTATACTTTATAACTACCAGATAATCCTACTTAAAAAATACAATCAAGGGCTGGGATTGTAGCTTGGTGGTGGAGCACTTGCCTAGCACACGGGAGGCACTGGGTTTGATCCCCAACACCACATAAAAATAAATAAAATAAGGGTATTGTGCCCATCTACAACTAAAAAAAAAATTTTAAAAACACACTCAATAATGTATAATATACTTAAGGATATGTAAGTTCACTTTTCTCATAAAGCAAAATGCCCCTGCCTATCTTCCAAGGACCTTCATAATTGAGGTACAGCTATTTGGATCATCGATCATAAAACCATCCCCAGTTCTCTCTTTTTCTTTTCTCCAGGCCCAACCTGTCCAGATACTTTAATGGCTCTGTGTTAGTCAGCTCTCCATCACTATAACAAAATGCCTGCGATAATAAGCAATTTAATAAGAGAAAAGTTTTATTTTGGCTCACTGTTTTGGAAGTTCTGATCCATGAGTGATTGGTCCTGTTGTTCTGGACCCAGAGTGAGGAAGTACCTCATGGTGGGAGCACACTATGGAGCAAAACTACTCACCTCATGGCCTGGAAGCAAAAGAGAGGAACGGGAAGGGGCTTGAGTTTTACTGATCCCTTCAATGGCACATCCCCAGTGACCTAAAGACCTTCAACAAGGGCCACCTCCAAGAGGCTCCATGGCCTCCCTGTGGCACCTCCCCGAGGACCAAGTTTTTAACATACAGGCCTTTGGGGGACACTCAAGATCCAAACTATCACAGATTCCCAATGACAAACATTTGAATTATTTTACTCTTGTTTTCCATTTTACTTTATATCACTGTCCAGGTGGTATTCAGTTTTCTTAAAAATCTGTCTCTGAATATGTAAGACTTGAGGTAGGGACCAAGCTATATTACAGATTTATTGTTACATTAATATATTCTTTGGCAATTACTTAAACTGATGGTTTGATAGGCAAATCAATAGTGCAAGGTCATTTTCTTTCCATTCTTTTTTTTTCTTATACTTACTCCCAAATGCTAAGGCAGGAAAAAAAAAGTATCTCCTTTTTCTTCTCCTCTTTTTTTCCATCTTTAAGTGGAGAAATCTGTAGGGCCTAATAATCATTCCTCTGCTCATCTTCCACTTCAGATCTTACTCATACTCTTGATATCAGCCATTATGCCTCAGAAAACTCCAGTCTTACAGACTCCAACTTTACCTTAGCTCATGTGCTGAGTTCATCCATCTAGATGTTCCAACACTTGCCCCTAGTTGTTTTGTTAGGAATATTTTCTTTTTCTCCTCAAACCTTCTTTTTTGTTCCAGTTTTATAAGTTATTTTTATCATGAATGAGAAAATGCCCTTTTCTGTATATTAACATTTTTAAAAAATTCAGTTAGATTACATTTAAATTTAAATTATTAAATAAAACAAAAAAGAGGTGATGGAACCCTTAAGAATTTGGGTCTAGTAGAAAGTGGTGAGTTCACTGAGACCATTGCCTTCTGGAGGGATTGCTGCTGCTGGCATGGAGTAATTTCTTGTGAGGGTGAGTTGTTATTAAAAATAAAAAAAGAAAGAAAAAAAATGGCAAGACTGGCCCTTCACTGTCTCTGGCTTACTGTGTCTCACCATGTCATCCCTTTGCACACAGTAAGTTACCTTTCCATTTCTTTACCAGGTTTTGATATAGTTAAGGGAGCCCTCACTAGAGGAAGAACAGATGAGTTGGCAATCTTGAAATTTAAGCCTAAATAAATCTCTTTCTAAAGTACTCAGCCTCACATTTGCAGGTAAATGGATGCAGTTGGAGAAGATAATACTAAGTGAAGTTAGCCAATCCCCCCAAAAACAAATGGTGAATGTTTTCTCTGATATAAGATGACTGACTTATAGTTGGGTAGGGAGAGGGAGCATGGAGGAATTGACAAACTCTAGATACGGCAAAGTGGGGGGAGGGGAAGGGAGGGGGCAGGGGGTTAGCAATGATGGAGGAATGTGATGGACATCATTATCCAAAGTACATGTATGAAGACATGTGTGAACATACTTTATATAAGTATATAAGTTGGTGTGAACATACTTTATATACAGAGATATGAAAAATTGTGTTCTATATGCATAATAAGAATTGTGATGCATTCCACTATCATGTATTTAAAAAATAAGAGCAATTAAAAAAAATAAAGTATCCAGTCTCAGGTATTTTGTTACAGTAACAGAAACCAGTCAATTACATGAGTTTGATTTCCTCTTCTAACTTCTTAAGAATGGAACCTAAATGGTTGATATTTAGTATTATCCTCTTTTTTAATTGCATAAAACTATAAATTATACACTGATTACTATATCACACAGTGTATTTTCATATCCATTCAGTTTAAAATATTTTCTAATTTTTTTCCTGACTCTTCTTTAGCACAGATGCTATTTGAATGTGTGCTTTTTTTAAATTTCCAAGTCTTTGGGATTTTCCAGATATTTTTCTGTTATTGGTCTCTAATTTAATTTTATTGTGTTAAGAGAATATTTTCTAGGATTTCAACATTTCTTGTTTATTGACTTTTTTTTTTTTTTTTTGTACTGGCGATTGAACCCAGGGGCTCTTTACCACTGAGATATATTCCCATCCTTTTTAATTTTTTTTATCTTGAGATAGTGTTTTGCAAAGTTGCTAAAGTTTTCTCTAATTTGCCCAGACTGACCTCAAACTTGAGATCTTCCTGCCTCTCCTCCCAAGTTGCTGGGATTTTAGACTTAATGACTTTTCTATGATTCAGTATATGGCCTATGAAGTGGAATGTTCCATGTAACTTGAAAAAAAAGTGTATTCTTCTGCTATTGGGTTGAATAATCTATATATGTCAATTAGAACACATTGGTAGGTTGAAAGTGTTCAAATCTTCCATATCCTACCAGGTGTGGGGTGCACACCTATAATCGCAGCTACTAGGGAGGCTGATATAGGAGGATTGCAAATTCAAGGCCAACCTCAGCAACTTAGCTAGGCTCTAGGCACCTTAGTGAAACTCTGTCTCCAAATTTTTTTTTAAAGATGGGAAGGGGAGGGATGTGTCTCAGTGGTAAAGCACCTTTGACTTCAATCCTCAGTATCAAAAACAAACAAACAAAAAAAACCAAAAAACTTTCATATCCTTAACAATTTTGTTTAATTTTTCTATCATTTATTGAGAGAATAAATGCTAGAACATTAAAATATAGCTGTCAAATTTCTTCCGCTTTCATTTTTATTACTTATGTGAGCTTTGAAGATTTTTTTATTAGGTATATACAAATTTAGAATTATTATATGTTCTGGATATGTTCTTTTAATCATAATGAACTGTCTTCTTCATCCATGTCCCAATTCTGAAGTTCTATATTTCTGGCATTAATATAGCCATCAACATTCTCATGGTTAGCGTTACTTTCACATTCTTTACTTTTTACCTATCTTTGTCTTCATATTTAAAGTAGACAGGTAGATAACACATAGTTGACCGTGTGTGTGTGCGTGCATACACGAATTCTGACCATCTTTGTCTTTTAATTAGAGTGTTTAGATTTTGCACATTTAATTCAATTAAGACTATGGTTATATTTAACTGTACTGTCTTACAATTTCTCCCAAATGTTTTCCCTTTTTTTAACTTTTTATTTACTTTGGCTTAAATATTATTCGATTTTATTTTCTCCATTGGATTATTAGTTACACCTCTTTTTTAATAGTTGTTATGATATCAAAATATTCATCTTTAATAATACATTCAACCTTAAAATAATGGTGTGCCACTTTACATACTTGATATTCTTACAACACTGTCCTTCCATTTCCTCCTTATTCTTTGTGACTTGTCATACATTTTACTTCTATGTATGTTATAAAGCAAAAATTGCAGTATTATAATTTTTAATTTATTTTTCAAAATTTTTAAACAAAATCTGTGTTCACATCAGATACTTTTCATCATGATAAGAACTATTCTTCTCAAATCTTTGATTGCAAATTCTCCTCATTATAATAGAAGCTCTCCTTCATGAAGTAACTATAGCAGGTGGAAATCAGAATGAATGAGGGCACATTTTTATTTCATTTCTTGTCTCTTTGTTTATCATACAAAAAACCTTCTCCGTGGGACATCACCATAGTTACGCTTTAGCCATGGGAAAGAAGTTCAGGGGTTGCATGAGTGTAAACAAGATCTGTCTGAAATCCTGATCCAGACTGACCAAATCTCTTCTCTTGGAGCCTACAATTTTCAAACTATAGCCAAACAAATCTTCATCCAAGTAAAATTTCTCCCAATCCACTTTCTCCATCTTACCCTATCCTGTAGTTAGGGAATAACTCAAAGCTAAATCAGTATTCTCAGACCCTTCTACTCAGGTGAGGTTAGACCTTCAGTAACTACTACATCCATAACCCAACTTGAAACCACACCTTCATAAAATATTTGTCATAGGTGACCTGGTCCAAGAATTCCAGCAAGAAGACTCAAAGTATCTCAGATACGAAACAGTGAAAATTTTATTGGTCTTAGGGTGTTTTTAGGAAGCAGGCATTGGAAGGTTTTTCAAAGGAGTCCAGAAGACATGAAGCCCACTAAAGGGATAATCTCCATGCCAGTGCTACAAAAATATCAACACTTATTCATTACATTCCATTTTTTTGGAACTGTATCAAGGGCTGAGGACTTTAAGGTTGCAAATAAGGACTTGAAGGGCTAGCAAGAAAGTTAGTCAGTGGGATAGAAAGCACAGGAATTGAGAAGGAAAGCTGAGACTAGCATCCATAGGGCAGCTAGAATTCAGATCTCTCCGAAGCCCTCTTCTTTTCAGGAATTTTGTCACCTGCAGCAAGACACACACAGTTACTGGCATCCTTGGATTCAGGACTCTAAACTCAGACCCAATTTCCTCATTCCCTTCACACATGATCCCCCCACCCCATTTTTCTGCCCTGTTCAGGTCCCAGGGAGAAGGCAGTCATCCCTGAACATGCCTTGGTCCTCCAGGTGAACAGCAGTTAGGAGTCAAGGTGTACTCTCAGGTGACTGAATTTCATCCCTAAGCCCCAGCTGAGTTTGGTGGCATCCTATGTGCCTCAAGTCACCAAAATATCCCAAGAAAGAGAAGGGTCACATTATTGAGGCCAGAGAAGCTCAACTCTGAAATAATGGCAATGAGGAAGATTCATTGCTCACAATGTGTAAAACTACTCTTTGTAAGGATTTCAAAACCAAAATACATTTGCCCATATGACCTTGTAGAACATCTAAAACTTTATTTCCTCTTTCCTGAAATTCTTTACTTCATTGATAAGCTTCTCTTCATTCTTCTGCCTCTATTTTTCCCATTTTCTTCAAATATTTTTCTTTTGATATTTTGTGAATCATGCCTTTTTACACTAATTTTGATTTTAAGATATTTCATTAAAATAAGAATATACATTTCAAGCCAGGTGTGGTGGCACACGCCTGTAATCCTAGTGGCTTGGGAGGCTGATGCAGAAAGATTGCAAGTTCAAGGACAGCCTCCACAACTCAGCAAGGCTCTCAGAAACTTAGTGAGACCCTGTCTCAAAATAAAAAAACAAAAAGGGTTGGGGATGTGGCTCAGTGGTTAAGCACTCCTGGGTTAAGTCTCTAGTACCAAAATAAGACAGAAAAAAAAAAAAGCAAATAAATTTTAAAAATCCGTGTACACCAAATACCACTTTATCAAATATATACAATAAAATAAACCTCATGAAATCCATTAGAAAATGTATTACATGGTTGAGGAAAGAGGTTAGATATGGGAGTAAAGACTGAAGATAAAAGTGAACAAATTAACAAAGAGATGGAACTCGGAGGTATCCATGATGATGGTATACATGAACTGAGTAATGTAATTGACTTAACCCTTTGCACCTGAGATCCAGCATGAATGATACCAATGGTGATAATAGTGATGAATTAGACATAGTCATTATCATAGAAAGATCACTATCTAATGAGAAGAAAATCACAAAAACACAAATATAGGAAACATGGCAAGTTGTTAGATAGGTAGATAGATAGAAAGAAAGAAAGCCATGAAATCCCAGAAGGAGCATTTTGTGTGAGCTTTGCCATTTGGTGAGTCCAAACAGAGAGAGCAAATAGTTTATAGGGAACCTGTCACACCACATTGTAATTATGCATAGAAATATGGGTCTGGTTCTAATATGGGTTTGTGGAGTGTTGGTCTTTTTCTTTATAAAATGAGGAATATAGGACAGTGTTTAAGGAAACAGTTTTGGATCCAGACTTCCTGGATTTGAATAGCAGATTCACTACTTCCTAGCCAAGTGACCTTGATCAAGTTGATTAATACCTCTGTGTACATAAGATACAAGTATCTCTCATGAGTAAAATGATAACAATAGTAGTGCCAGACTAGAATATTTGCAAGAATAAAGTGAGCTAAGTAATAAATGCTCAGAATAATGCCTAAGCATATTAAGTACCCCATAAATAATCATGGGTACTTAATATGCTTAAGTGTTGTCACTGTTGTTCATCTCTGTGCTCTAACCCATTAGAAGATCAATGTACATTTAATCATATTAAATTATTCCCCTTTTCTTTATATACAACAGGTACTTGGATCTTTCCTTTTTTTTCTGTATGCATCCTATGAGTCCCCACCACCACAGTCACTCACAGGGGTCCCTGGGCCCGGGGGTCACGGCTGGAACGCAGAGCCCTCGTGATGAGCACTGTGCCTGTAATGATGCCCACCAGGCCCACCACCAGGCCCAGGGCACAGACCACAGTCTCTGTTGCCTCTGTCACCTGGACCGGCTCCTGGGCCTCTGGGAAAAAAATGAAGAGATAAGTCAGAAGGTGTGTGAAGTTTAGGGCAGGCCTGGGGTGTGCGGAGACTGAAGGTTACAGACTGTTTGATGGAACATTAGGATAGGAGACTGGGGAAGCTGGAGCAGAGAGCACCAGGTCCTGGGGGAGAGAGTGCATGGAGGGTGAGGAGGGGAAAGAGGCTCCGTACCCCAGTGGTTGAGGCTCGGCTCCTGCAGGCCCCAGTGCTCCACCTTGCAGTCATAGACGTCCTCATCTGAGGGCACGAAGGTCAGGTAGTGGAACTTGTGGAAATTGTAGTCTGTTCTGGGCAGGAAGACAGACTCAGAAACACCCTCGGTGACAGGCTGCCCGTTGCGCAGCCACGTGACATTGAGCACTGGAGGGAAGAATCTGTCCACGTGGCAGATGAGGGTGTTGGGCTGGCCCAGCTCCACAGGCTTCTTGGGAAACACAGTCACCTCGGGAGGCTCTGGGAGGAGACAGAACCTGGTGAGTGCCCTGCTCTGGGATGAGCGACAAACCCCAGGCTACCCCTGGGGGTGTCATCTACCTCAGGCTCAGACTTGTGACATCTCTGGGCTCCTGAATCCGAACCAGGAGTCTCATCCCACTGGCCAGCCTCACTCAGCTGACCTTCCTGTGCAGTGGGAAGGGGCGAGGCAGCCCTGGACTGTGCTGGAATGAGCCCACAGCCACAGGGAAGAGGGTCCCTCAGCTGTGGGCATCTGGGTCTCCCATTCTGTGTGGCAGAGGGGCCTCCCACCCCTTCCCAGTGGGTGAAGAAGCAAAGACAGGCAGTACCGCTGGCGGCCTGGGTGTGATTGGAGTTCTCCGTCATGATATCCAGGTTTGACTTTGCTATAGCAATGTTAGTCAGCCCGCCCTGAGAATCAAAGGAAAGGCCTCGGCCAAACTCAGACAGTTGCCAGATGGTCTCCTTCTTGTCCCGATCCACGTAGAACATCTCATCCTCATCAAATTCATACATAAACTCCCCAGTTGGAGCATTGGTCTGGGCAAACATGGCAAAGCTTATTACATGGTCCACTGTATAAAGAAAATAGAGAAAACCATGACAAAAGCAAGAATGAATATGTTTGTGGTGGACAAGCAAGAATGAAAAGATTTCTTAATATAAAAATAAAGAGGTCAAAGGAAAGATACATGGGGAAAGAAGCAGTAACATCAAAAAAGCAATGATGCAGAGCAGTTACAAAAGGATCTGAGAGAGGAACAAAATTAGGAGAGGATCATTGAGAAGTCTAGGTGCCTCCTGATCCATTGAAAGCCTGAGTATCATGGTCTTACAGAAATATCAGCAATAACAGTGACAAATAACACTTAATGAGCATTTACTAAGTGCCAGGCATTGTTCTAAATACTTATTTTACTGTTTATCACAATAACTCTATGAATCAAATATACAAAGTATGCTTTACAAATAAGGAAAGGCAGAGAAGTTAAGTAACTTAAGGTCACACAGCTATGTGTAGTTAGTAGAAAAATTCTTCCCAATAAGTTCTCAATTCTTCTAGGACAATAGATGTAAAAGTGTTTATAGAGTCATGGAGGTGGACGAGTAGGAATACTATGTGTCTCCTTACAGAACACAGAGAAATAGCATAAAGTTGAGAGAGAAAAGAAATTGTCCCTCACATTTTAGTGCTCTTTAGAGTCCTTAAGTTTCTGCTTTTAATAGGTTCAAATATGTTTCCTGTTCATAAATAGCCTTGTATAGCTTTGTTCATAATATTTTTCCTTATGAATCCATTTAATCTATTTATAACATAAGTCACTCTTCTTAAGTCTTTCAAATTTGTTCATAATATTTTTTATTTTAGGCATATTAAATCCAAAGGTTTAGTGCAGTTTTCTGGCATGAGGTTCAAACTTTCTTTTTTAATTTTTGTTTTCAATGGGCCTACAAGTGTTGCTGAGTTTGATAGAACAATGGGATTTATTTTTTGTTTGTTTCTTAGTCTTTATTAGTTTATAAGAAATAGCAAAAGACAAGAAACTATCATCATTAAATGAAGCAATGAATATCTGAGTTTCTGGGCTTCAAATGACAGAGCAAGGGTGAAAAGGCCTTCAGGGCTTAGCTGATCCAACCTCCTAAATCACAGATTTCCCTGAGTTGGCAATCCCAAGGCAAGGGGGAAACCCGGGGATCCCTGTCTATGCTTGGACACTTATAGTGAGAACACTGTTTCACAAGCATTGTTACCTTCCTTCTCAGTTGAGAAGCATCATCATCAGAAAAGAAGGCAAAACAAAAAGAAACGCAACCCTCCAAGATAAAGAAGAGATGGGGGCTGGGTATGTAGCTCAATAGAGTTTGCCCAGTATGTTCAAGGGCCGGGGTTCAATCCTCGGAAGGAAAAACAAACAAAACAGTGTGATGATAAAGAAATATTAAATTGATGACTGTGATTACCATTAAGAGATTATATTCTACAAGAATTGATAAGTGAGATGGGAAGTAGAAAGTACTCTTATTCTTAGGCTCATCAATGCAACCATCTTTCTTTCTTTTATTTTATTGTTTTTAAAAATTATTTTCAACTAACAAATAAAAGTTGTCTATGTTGTGTACAACGTGTTGTTTTGAAACATATTCATTGTGAAATGGCAGACAAGCTAATTAGCATAAATATTACCTCATATGCTTGTCCTTTTTTTATGTATGAGAGCACTTAAAATCCACTCTCTTGGCATAAAATTGTCTAATGCAGAGTACAATCATCAGATTCGGGTCTGGATTTATTAATTCCAGTTACTATCCTGTAATCTCTTAAACTAATTCCTCATCTAAAACTAAAATTTTGTGTCCTTTGATGAACACTTCCCAAATCCAGTGCAATCTTAAGTCCACCAGTTTAAAAGGTAATAAAGGAAGACTTTTGAAGTGGGAGAGGACTTTGAGTCTAGTGTGGGGCATATTGCATTTAGATTATCTAACAGTTATCTAAGTAGAAATGATACATGGACAGTCATACATGATGGTTGACTTCAGGGGATAGGTTTGGGCCAGAGGACTGAAGGGTTAGATGAGATTTTCCCTGCAAAGTGCATAAAATGAAAAATGTGGATATCTAAGGGAATGCATCTGGTAACATGATAGTTAAGAAGCTCATTTAAGGAGGAAAAGGAAGTTCCAGAGAAACAGGAGAAAAATTAAGATAGAGTATATTAAAGGAGGATCTAAAGAAAAGTTCCAGTAACAAATAAAAAAAAATGAATTGCAGTGAAAATGTTATCAAGAACTCAAGTCAAAGAGACATTAAAAAATATCCTCTGGATTTGGACTTACATAGAGGTTACTGACAGTCAAGTTGAGAGCATCCTCAGGATGTATTGGAAACAAGTCAAAAGCTCAGCTAGGTGAGGACACAGAGTATCTTTAGGTAGAGTACTGAGTGAAGGCAAGGTTGTTTTTTATTTGTTGGTTTATATTTATGTTTCTAAAGTAAAGAACAAATGTACATGTTGAGATAGAAGGAACCAGTGGGAGGGAAGCAATAATGACAGCGCTAAGTTAGTTATTTCCATCGAGAAGCCTAAAATGTCTTCATATTTGTGTGAAGATATATCATGGCACTTACTATAACACAACACTGAAAATAACCCAAGTGACCACTAACAGGGCAACAGATACTTCTGTTCTGCACAGTCTCACCTCCTCTTCACTTCTATCCACCTCTGGACACCTTTGCCCTAAAATTAAACAGAAGGCTAGAGCGTATCTGGTTTTTTTTTTTTTTAGTTGTAGTCAGACACAATACCTTTATTTTACTTATTTTTTTATGTGATGCTGAGGATTGAACCCAGGGCCTTGCACATGCAAGGCAAGTGTTCTACCGCTGAGCCACAACCCCTGTTGTGGGGGCACATCTTTTAGGTGATGAATTTGAATCCACATCACTACATTTTTGGATGACAATTTTATGCACAGGCTTGATGCTCCCTGGTGTCAGCAGCAGGAAGAAGACCATCTTAAATTGTTATCCCTGACTAGGTCCTGCATGGTCTAGCCATCCAAGGTCGAGACCTCTCAATGTAGCAACGGTCTTCAGGTCACTAGGGACCTGAATCACAAGGTTAATAAAAACATGAGCCACTAGTGTCTTGGAAGAAGGCAGAACCGCCCTCAAAGATCTTGGAAGAGTCCAAAGATCCCGAGAGAGAGGGACGAACACAGGAATACTCTAAGCAATTTATCTCCCAAGTTCCAACACACAGGGCCCATAACTCTGGGACACACAAAGCAGAAATTGAGCATTCAGGAGAGACAAGAGGATTGCAGGATCCCAGTAGGGTATAGTTAGAAAGTCACTGTGTGCAGAAATCTGAGAAATGCAGAGTACAATCATCAGATTTGGGTCTGGATGTAAACCTTGGCTCTTTGGCTTGGTATACATAACCTTGGAAAATGTATTAATGTTTGGGAGGTTTGCTTTTTTTTTTTTCATCTCCAAAATGGAGAAAATAATATTTTGGTCAAAGGTTCTTGTGTCACGTAAAGAAGGGGAAAGAAATCACCTAGGTGTCTAGCAAGTTGTGGTGCTATTGCTATTATGATAATTGGAGCAAGAGGGAATGAAGGCAAACTTCCCATGGGGGGGGGGGAGACAGAAAAGGAACATAGAGGAAAATAGACAATAAGTCCCTAAAATCTCTAATTCCTAAAGCCATTAGCTGGCTGCCTGTCCCCCTCTCATACTGACAACCCCCCGACCACACACGCACCCTTTTGGGTCTTCCTGAGCACTCACCCTCTATGGCCCCAGCTCCTTGAAGACTCAGCAGGAAAGCCAGGGAGAGGGCTCTCAGGATCACGGTTCCAGTCTGGAACATTTCCTTTTCAGAGCACACCTTGTGGGGTCCCCAGGTGACAAGAATGAGCACAGGAACAGTGCTGAGGAACTGAGGCAGAACGGAGACAGACAAGAGCTCTGAAACTGTGGGCTTCTATAGACTGAAATTGTGAGAAGGGGTGGAGAGGGATGAGCACGGCTGGGCTTAGCCAATCAGAGACCTGGTGGAGCTGACTCTGCCTGTTGCCAGGTAAAGAGAGACTGCAAGGGGCTCAGGAGGACTTGGAGGACTCCAGGAGCCAGCAAGGTTGAGGGACTGCCAATTCGGAGTTGATTTTCAGAGTTAGGATTGAAAAGATAAATTGTACATTCTTCTGGCAGCAAATGTTCTATATTATGTTGTTGAACAATAAGATTAGTCTCCCTGCATTCTCCTACCCAAACCCCACCCCAAATATTCAGATTATCTTTGATGTTTTGTCCACTCTTTTTTCTAAATGATTTTTAAAGCTATTTCAATCAAGCTTACAAAATATTTTCCTGTTCCTTGGGAATAAATACACTATCAAGAAAACATAATCTTTCAGACTCATCTGTCTGAGATATTTTTCCTTCTAATTTTTATGTAGAAGTTTTATAGTTTCTATTTATAAGTTTTAATTGATGTAAATGAAGTTGATCTTTAAATATTTTACATTCTTGGTTACCTAAAATCTCCAATTCCTAAAGCCATTTGTCATCTTTTATTACCCATGTTTCTTTTATTTTTTTTTCCTGAAATGCCTTTTCCTCTTTAAATTACTATTTTTATATCCTTTTTCTATAATATCCAACACACATTACACATGGCAATGATGGACATCCTCACTTTGATCTTCTTTGCTTTTTTTCCTTATTTTTGTTTTTCTTTCAGGAGGAGCCTGCTGGGCTGCCCAAGCTGCCTTAACTCTTGGGCTCAAGCAACCCTCCTGCCTTCCAAGTATCTGGGACAACAGGCTGATCTTGTTTTAAAGGGATTTCTTTAATGCTTTTATATTATAGGTATTGTTTATTTTTTGTTTTATATTTTATTCACCATATTTATAAAATGCTTTTCAAGTCTTATTTTAGAGATTTTTATTTCAAACTATTTATTTGGTATTTTTAAGTAAAATTACAATCAGTTAATATTTAATGTAAATGAAGTATATCAATATTTTTCTTGTTTTGTGATAGCCTTGTCTTGCATAAGTAATAGTTATTAACAGATTTATTACAGGGAGACAATATTTTTAGTCTTTACAACTATCTTATTTAATCCTCACATCAAACTTGCATTATTTGTGTTCATTCTAAAAGTAAATTACCTGACATATTGAGGATTTAAGTATTTGTCTAATCATCTAAGCAGGCAAGTGACAAATAGGGGTCAACCAAGACACTTTTATTAAAAAATATGAACTTTTATTCCACAAGTCTATACTGAATCCTCCTTCTAAAGTCTCCTTAATAATTATATGGCATAATAATTATAATTATTTATAATAATTGTATGTAAATATTACTTATAATTATAATATTATATCTACTTCTCTTGCATTTTACATGCTAGCATTTATATAATATTTTAATATCTATATTTTCAAATGATGCCAGTTTGATATTTTACTAGAGACTGTGGTCCAACAGAATCAATTCATAAATTTGTAGATTAGGGAGTAATAGTCTTTGAAGGTTGTAAAATTATTCATAATAAAAACAAGAGAATCTGATATTTTGGAGTGGGTAGGATTTGTGAAAAATTTTTTTTCATTTTATTCTTCATCTACTGGTCTATTTATATTCACTAGAGACTTTAGCTTTCCAAAGCAATGGCAGCTCTATTCATACCATTTGAACCTAAGAGCATTGCTATAAAGGCAGGTTTTATCATCACCTCAAAGACAAAGAATTGAAGTCCAAAAATGGCGATGCCCTTCAGGTTGCACACTTGCTTGGTAGAAATACAGCTATGCACATGCTCCCAGGGTATGGGCCTGAGACTGAGCCCTGCTGACCCTGATGACATTCCTGTGGAAGCACCTGTACCTCTCCACACTAACAGGAGAAAGAAAATATGGACAATGGTAACCCTAAACATCCTATTGAGCAGACAATACAGATGGACTCAGGAGCACATTTTGAGTTCTGGGGTGGGCACTCTTAATTCTTCATAAATCACGTCACTAATAAAACACTCACTCCATCTCATGTCCTGTGATGGGAAAGAGATGGCAGGGTTGGGGAATGATAACCCCATAAATGGGCCAACAGAATATCTGAGGTTGCCTTCAAAACAAAGAAAACACATTATCTCCCCAAACTGCATGACTCATCCACCTGGTTAAAGTGAGTATCGCTCTCTTCCCTCCATCATTTTAAGTGCATCTTACAGGCCATTCCCACTAACCATCTGCCCAGTGAGTGATGACTCACACAAAGCTTCTTGCTCATTGGTTCTTTTCTCAGAGTCCGTCCAATCCCAGGGTCGTAGGAGAATACTTTGGCTCATGGTTTCTGATATTTCACCCAGGATCTCCATTCAGCAAGTCCTTCCTTCCCTGACTGCTACTGTTTTCAGCTCACCAGCCTTTTCTAGCTCCGCAATGGTCCTACAGGTCTCTGAGGCTTCCTGGGCACCAGCTTTGATGGTGTCTCTGATGGTGCTGTTCAACCCTGTGGTCCAGGGTATGGCCACTCCAGGTAAGAGCAGAGCAGCTGTTCCTGGAGGGCCTGGCTCAGGGAACAACTCCTGAGGCCTTTCCCCTAGGGAACCAGACTCTGGAAAACAAACATGGCATCAGGGATGGGGTGCTACCACAGCCTCATGGCCTTCCCTCCCAGCTACAGAAAGCTGGTTACCTCCTTGTAACTGTCCAGCCAACCTGTTCTCTCTTCCAGGGACATAGGCACAGTGAACAGGGGAAAGGTGCCAAGGTGGTGGTATGCTTGTGTCTTGTGGACAGTGGGCTGAGAAGTCTAGAATGACTTTAGGTGACAATGTTTCCAGAGAGTCGGGTCAGCAAAGCCCACCTCCTAATTGCCTTATATCTCTATCACGGTTTGAGGGGACTCAGGTCACCCTGACAATTTCATGCTCAGGGAGAGTCCTTTCCACTCTCCAGAGTGGGACAGGAGCCCAGGCCCCTGGACAGCGATGACCACATGGAGAGGAAGGGGACAGGGCAGGTGATGGTTCTACCCCAGCAGCACTCTTGTTGAAGGTGATCCTTTCAGTCTTCCCAGAGCTTGGTTAGAGTATTAGAGAGAATTGAGATTTGTAGGAAGGGTGAGAGGAGGGTGTGTAGGTCTGTAGAAAGGGGCTGAGTGCAGATTACCAGACGGCCAGGGAAGGAGAGGCCAAGGGGAGACTTCTCATGCTGCCTCCCCTGGCTAAAGTGATTCATGGCTTCTGTGAACCACTGATTCTCTCAGAATGCTTCTTAACTCTGTGGCCCCAATTCATACCCAATATCACAAGTGGAAGATCTATAAAATAGCTGTCTTAGCTTTCTACTAACACCTACCTTTCCTTCTCCAAGCCACCTTCTTTCAGACCCCTCCACTCCTGTCTTCGGATATACTGTCCTCATTTCACTTCCTCATGTTCCTGGGGTAACAATTTGAATGTTCTGAGTCCAGGGCCCCAGGGCCCCTCTCCTATCACACCATGTCCACTTGCTGACAAGGGAGGGAGAACGTGCCCTTGTTAGTCACAGAGAGTTGCTGGGGCCAACAGTAAGACAGCTCAGCTGTGGCAACCGTGCCTTCAAAGTCCTGGGAATTGGAGAGGGACGACGCTGGGGAAAGAGGAGCCTGGAGGTGTGTCAGGACGACACTGAATGATGGCAGGAGGCGAGGGAGACTGTGCCGGGCTCCATAGGAGCTGTTCTGAGGGATGATGGGCAGTGGGGAGGAGTGAAAGGAATGACAGAGGTGAGGTGGACGGTGAGTGTGATGGTGTGAGGAGGATGAGAGAGGGGAAAAGTGGACCGATGTTTGTAGGAGGATTGGATGAGGATGTACAAGTGTGCGGAACAGATTGAGGGTTGGTTACCAGAGTAGCCTGCCCAAAACAAATGATCAATAATAACTGCAAGAGCCTGGAGGGAGGGTAGGCAGAGGGGGAGGGCAGACTACAATCCCCTCTTACTCTTCCAATTCCTCACAGATCCCCACCTCAAACAGGGCAGAAGAGAAAGGCATGAGTAGCAGGCTTTGGCTAAGGGGGCTGGGGGAAGAAAAGGCTGGTCAAGACCACCATGATGAGCAAGAGCGACGCAGCAGATGGGCTCTAAGGAACCAGACTCAGTCGGCAACAATCTTTTGGCTCTGACAGATTTTTAATATGTGCTCCCCCATCAGCACACCCACCACCCCAGGGCTTCAGGGCCACACTCCCAAGTCCCTGTCCCACCAGCTGGGCCTTCCCAGAAGCTTATTATGACTTGAGTCTTTGTGAACTTATTTTTATGTCACTTTTTCCCCAAGTAAAATCACTAGGATAAGTCAGACAGAGTGACACACACCTGCAGTCCCAGCTATTCAAGTGGATGAGGAGGGAGCACCACTGGAGATTGGGAATTTGAGAGCAGCCTGAGCAACACAGCCAGATGGTGCCTCAATACAAAGAAACAAACAAAAAAACTCACTAAGATAAAAGAGAGGTGGAAAAAACACAGCAACTAAACAACAAAACTTTTTATTAAAGGTCTGGTCCACAACTCCCCTGGAGGTTTTCAAGTAGCCAGTAGCTGAATTGGTTCCTCCTTCCTATGGGTTTCTTTAGTATTTTACTAGATTAAAGCAGAACACCATTGTAAAGGGATGGGAACTCTCATGAAATGAGCAGCTCTAGCACAAAGCTACAGGGTTTACATGTGTAACTTATTTCATTCTCACAGCAGCTCCTCACAGTCAATGGTGTTATTAGTATGTTTCACATTTCAAGAAATGGAGACTTAGAGCTGGGGGTGTAGCTCAGAGGTACAGTACTTGCCGAGCATGTGCAGTGCCCTGGGTTTGATCCCCAGCATTGCAAACAGAAATAAAAACAGAGAGAAGAGAGAGAGAGAGAGAGAGAGAGAGAGAGAGAGAGAGAGAGAGAGAGAGAGAAAGAGAGAAAGAAAGGAAGGAGAGAAAGAAAAGAAAGGGAAAAGAAAAAGAGAAAAGAAATGAAGACTTACAAGGTTGTTTCTTACCCAAGATCACATAGTAATACATTGTATTATGGGGACTTAAATCTGTTCATACCTGTATTGTGTTCTTTTTCTTTGACTGTATTGCCGCCATTATATCCTCCTGCAATTATTATTTTTTAGTATATTCTATTCTGGAAAAGACATTAATTCACTTACATCAGTGCTTTTTTCAAAATGTGCTCTGGGTAACTAAGTTGTCAAGCATTTACCTATGGTGTATGGTTTCTCATGAACAAAAAATGAAAGTTTCAAATTCCATCTAAAAACCCTCACATCACTTTTTTTTCCTTGTAGGTATAATTGTATTTTTAAAGGTTAAATGCCTGAGCTGGGCATGGTGGTGTATTCCTATAATCCCAGCAACTCTGGAGGCTGAGGCAGGAGGATCACAAGTTCAAGGCCAGCCTCGGCAATTTAGAGAGGCCCTCAGCAACTTCTTGAGACCCTGTCTCAAAATAAAAACAGTTAACTATGTAGCACAGTGTGGAGTCCCCCTGGTTTCAATGCCCAGTACAGGAAGGAAGGAAGGGAGGAAGGAAGGAAGGAAGGGAGTCATTAAATTTTGCCAGAGAAAAGTTTCAAAATTATTTTTTCTAGATTGAAAAACACTCACATGTTGATAAATGAGGAGGGGGAAAGGGAAGATTAAAATTACAAGATGCACATTCAGAGCTGGGCAATTGAATAGGGACAGGCAAATGGTTAGAAGAGGGAGAAAGACTCTGGACTAGAGGGGATAAGGAGCAATGGCCAGGGGACTCAGAAGCTGAGACAAAAGGGACCAGGAAAGGAGCAAGCCAGGATATCTAAGCCAAGATGGCTCTTGCCTTAGCCACTGTGGACTAGTGGCCTGTTGGTGGCCTTGAGGCCCCACCCATCCCTTTTCTGTTCTATTCCCTTAACTCTGTAGTTTCTGAGGTGGAGGTAAGACAGAATTCTCTAGAAGACCAAAGCTATTCTGGCCATCACTGTATGACAGGAGGAATGATCAGATCGCCCCACAATCACCCCCATTTTGCTCCTGGAAACTCCAGGCCTATTTTCTTCCTCAGGAAGCCTCCCTAGTGTCTGGAGCTAGAGCAGGCAGCGCAGCTTCATCTAGGGCTTTGGGCTCCTGTCTTTGATTTTAACCTCTCCCAGTTCCTCTCAGTCTCCTTCTGACAAGGTGAAAAACAGGCGAGCATCCTATTTCAAAATGGTTTTGTAGTCCCACCACATTTGGTCTCAGAAGCTGTGTGACTGATTGGATCTGGCATTTTAACTTCTGATGTCCTTTCTAATGAAGTAACAGGCTGCTCCCATTAAAACATACATAATATACTGGTTTAGAGCTCCCTCTTGTGGCCTCGACATATTATTCATTTTATTTGTTGGTTCAGACATTTACTGATAAGAAAAATGTACTGAGAGCTAGGTTAGATGTTGGATACATAAAAAGAAAACAGTAAGTATTGCCTTGAGATGTTAATCTATACAGGATGGAAAATACATGCAAAACAATCACATCACCTTGTTTCCTCCAATGAGAACAGGCCCAAAGAGACAAACAGAAAGAAAGAAAGAAATGAAAGAAAACATGAAAGACCACTGTTACTTCTGTGGAGACGGCATTTACCAAACGATGTAGGTAGCTCTCTAAGAAGTCCAGTGTGAGGAAGGCTACCATGTTTCTTTACATAAAAACTGTATCATCAGCTGGCTGTGGTGGCTCATGCTGGTAATCCCAGCAGGTTGGAGCGGAGATAGGAACATTACAAGTTCAAAAACAGCCTCAGCAACTTAGCAAGTCCCTGTCTCAAAAAAAGAGAGAGGCCTGGGGATGTGGCTCAGTGGTTAAGTACTGCTGGGTTCAATCTCTGATACCAAAACAACAACGACAACAACAACAACAACAAAATCATCTATGAGTCCAGGAACAATAGAGCCCACCCTCAAGGTCTCTGGGTATTGTAGTTTTCATTGATTAAGATCCATTCCACATCTGTGAGAACACTCTTTCTATAGTCATCTTTGAAAAATGAAAAGCTACATTAACTTTTAGGATAGATAGGCTTTCTTTATACTGAGCTTTAAGAAAATTTTAGGAAATTTCTATCTACATTCCCAGCATAAATAATAAGAGTAAACTGAGTTATATTCAAGATACTGGCACAGAGGAAAGAACACCTCGCTGAGGAAAAGAGAAGGAAAGAAGGGAGGGCTTCCTGGAGGAGGTGACATTGAACTAAGTTTTTGTACAGGATGGCAGGGTCAGGCTCAAAGCCCGGATAGGGACGGCAGCACCACTCTCTCCCCAGCTCCTCCTGCCCCCGCAGTTTCTCTGTCTAGGGGACTTTGTGCTGTAGTGAGGCTCTGCTCCTCCTGTGACCCCAAGTGAAATATCGCCCTCCTCCTGCCTCCGCAAAATTGATGACTTCCCAGAGTCCCGCGCCTTCCTAAAGGTCACTGGGTCACCCTCAGCAGAGGGTCACAGTTACTCAGTGGATCCTCTCATGTTGGGGTGAGGAAAGGGGGGCTGGATCGGTTCCGTGACCTAAAATCCAGGGCTCGTTATTGGGGGGGAAACGATGGGGTTTAAAATCCACCCCTGGTGGGTAAATACAACCCCGCGTGCACCGGGGCCGTGAAGAGCGGGAGCGGGGGCTCCAGGAACCAGGTCGCCGCGGCTCGGGCGGCTCCGGGCCCTGCGGAGGGCGGCCCGAGGGTCCAGGCCGGGTCCTGGCGTCAGGGGGGTCGCGGGACGTGGCGGCTGCTGTGCTCGGCCCGGAAGGGCGGGACGGGGACAAGAGAGGGGGTCGCTCGGGCCGTGGGGCCGTGGGGTGGCGGGTGTCGCGGGCCCCGGGAGTCGCGGCGGGGCTCAGCGCCGTCCTCTCCCCGCAGAGAATTACATCTTCCAGGCACGGCAGGACTGCTACGCCTCCCACGGGACGCAGCGCTTCGTGGAGAGATACATCTACAACCGGGAGGAGTACGCGCGCTTCGACAGCGACGTGGGGGAGTACCGCGCCGTGACCGAGCTGGGGCGGCCGCAAGCCGAGTACTGGAACAGCCAGAAGGACCTCCTGGAGGATGAGCGGGCCAGGGTGGACACGTTGTGCAGACACAACTACGAGGGCATCGAGCGCTACACGGAGCAGCGCCGAGGTGAGACCAAGGGCGGGGGCGGGCGCCGCGGGGCCCAGAGCAGCCACCGCCGCCACCAGGGCGGGAAGGGGACTGTGGGGCTGCGGGAGTGCGGGGGGGGGGGCAACCCCGAGGCTTGCGCGGGCAGTGAGGGGAAAGGAGGCGACAGGATAACTTGTCGCGGGTCGTGGGAAATGGAAACCGAGACGCCACCTCCGGGAGACACCCTGGGAGACCGTCGGATTGAGAGCTGAGGGACGCCCGCCCGCCGCTGGACTTCCTCTGGACAGGAACAGGAGGGTCTGCAGCTGGGAAGGGAGATCTGGGCCTGTTGAGATCATCTGGCGGAATCCAGTGGGAAGAGAGTAAAGGGCTGATCCCAGAACACGGACATTTGAGATGTTGCCTCAGAGAAAAAAACCAAGCAGAACAAGAAGTAAAGAGTGGGGTTAGAAGAACCAAGGCAGAGAAATGCCACAGAAGCTGAGGTAGAGGGGGGTGACAGCAGTCAACAGTGACACCAACGACTTCAGAAGATAAGTAGATAGAGGTTGAAAGGCGGGCTTGGAAACCAGGGAGAGCAGATTGTCTGCAGCTTGGGAGCAGGAACTCAGAGGGGTGGGGGTGGGGGTGAGCCTTCAACAGAAACAGTGACACTTGTCTTACAGAAAAGAGAAAGGATGAAGGGTAGGAGTAGGGAGAGACTGTGGGAGGGCTCACCTTTGAACCCTCTTTTTTCTTTTCTTTCTTTCTTTTTTTTTTTTTGGGAAAGTAGAAAGCAGTGTTATCTGCAAGAGTAAGGATGTGAACCAATTGTAAAAATTATGAGAGTGACATGACTTTAGAAAAGTTGCTGACATAATTAGGTAAGAAAATGTCCAAAGGCAATAAATAGGATTGGCAATAATTATAGGGCCTGACCATTAGTGTGGTAGGGACACAACTTTCTTTGTGGCATAATTCATTGCCAGTTCACAGAGAGCCCTGGTGTCAGTCTGAGGAGTTTGGTTTAGTCACCTAGATCACTGGGTCCCTAACTAGCTCTGCTCTGCAGAGTCTCCTGGAGATCTTTAAAGCACAGATCTTTAAGGCACTAGAATCTCTGCCCAGAGAATCACATGTGATGAGATCAGGAAAACTACATTTTTAATTGATGCCCAGTAATTCTCATGTAACCAGGTAAGTGTTGCCAGATCCTAAACCTCAGGATTTTGGTTTGTTTCTCAGGTAGGAAATGTCAAGGCCAGAGTTCCATTTTCAGAGAGTGTTCAGTGTATTGGAAAGAGGAGTGACTGGAGTCAGAAAGATAGAATAAGAAAACGTTGTTATTGTCTAGGAAAAAGTAATAGAGCATGAATTATAAAGAGAAGAAAAGAGAGGAAAGGGAGAGTGAGTGTTTGGGAATTTGCAGTGTGAACGCCTGACAAAAATTCTAGAAGTAACTGAATAGGTGTTTTGTGGGCATTGAAAAAAACAGCCTTAGACGACATGGGAATATCTTGCCTTTATGAAAGGTATTTTGAGCTGGAGAAGAAATAAGACCATTGGTCTACAGACCTAGCTCCAGTGTCCCCAGATGTCAGTTGTATATTCTAGGCACAGTTCTTCATGGAATGTTCTGGGCCTTAAAATAGTCATGCAGATAGAGCCACTAAGTTGCATGAGGCCCAAGAGACTTAAGGGAGAGAAATTTAACCAAATTCACAAACTGAGACAGGAGCCGAACATCTGATGAACTGTGAGTTTATAAAAGTAGTCAAAATAAAAGATATCCCTGAAAATAAAGTATCTATGAGGGAGAAGACTGGCAGTATTGGAGAAGTCTGGACAGGAAGTCAAGTTGTTTAAGGAGACTATAAATTTGAGGATACCTCAAGAACATGCTGTTACCTGGCCCTGTCCCACCTCAGCATATTTGTTTTTATTGGAGTAGAAGTTAGAAAAAAAAAAAGAAGTAAGTTATTAGGACCTAGAAGCTATGATGTGGGAAATTTCCCTGAATAGGCTTTCTCTAGAGGCACATGGATCTTGTCTGGCCTCTGGAGAGCAGGAAGGCCTCTGAAGGTGGTAGATATTGAGGAGTCATAACTATTAGAAGGTGTCAGGAGGTGACAGGAAGTAGACAGCAGTATGGAAATGGACAAAGGAGCAGCAGAAAAGATGGATGAGGGAAGAACAAGGAGAGGAAGGTACATCAGAGAGATACAGAGGTATAGACAACATCTACGCTTGAGGGCTCCATCAGGCAACCCAGAAAGACTTTGCAGAGGAGAAACTTGGGAACAGACTGAAATTCCTACTAACCAAACAGATGGGGCTCAGAATGTTGCACTTGAAAATAAGACTTAGATTTGAAGATCTTGAGGTTTTGTAGGTAAGGGAGAGCATCATATATATAGGCTATTTGAAAAACAAGTCATCGTCAAATTTGTTTCTTGTACTTTTAATGGTTGGGATATAAACTTAGATTGGCAGACCGAGAGAATGTCATTGCCTAAATATCTTCATGAAATTATTTGACTAAATTTTGCATCCATTTCATCAAGATGCAACATTGATAAGACAGGAGTTTCACAGCTGAAGAAGGATTATTTATCAAAAGACTTAATCAGTCACTCATAATTTAAATTTCTACTAAATTTGCAACAAAGTGCTGCTTTTGTGTTGCCCCAACCTTACCAATCTTTCTTTATCATATAACTAATAATTATGTATATTCCCTTTGAAGGCCTATCTCCATCTTTTTAGTATAGCAGGTATCCACTAACCCAATTATGACTTTTGTACATAAAAACCACTTCCCTAATGAAATCATTTAAAAAATAATAATCTCAAATATCATTCCTTTTATTTCTCCTAGTCCAGCCTAAAGTTCATGTGTCTCCCACCAAGAAGGGGACCCTGCAGCATCACAACATGCTTGTCTGCCACGTGACAGATTTCTACCCAGGCAACATTAAAGTCCGATGGTTCCTGAATGGACAGGAGGAAACAGCTGGGGTTGTGGCCACCGAACTGATACGAAATGGAGACTGGACCTTCCAGATCATGGTGATGCTGGAGATGACCCCCAAGCAGGGAGATGTCTACACCTGCCACGTGGAGCACCCCAGCCTGAACAGCCCAGTCACTGTGGAGTGGAGTGAGTTACCCTCAAGTGACCTTCTAGACCCCACATTCTGAGATGCAGAGAACAAATTGGCTCCAGGGTCCACTCATGTTGTCTTATGTGTGTGTACACTGGGACCATTTCCATCCACTTGTAGTTATAAGCTAGAGGCAGTGGAGACTAACCTGTCCCTGGGGGTCAAGATTCCTTGCTTAACCTTTGACCCTGGTCTCTGTTATGTTGAAAGGCAGCTGCCAGAATCAGCATCTGTCATCCTGTTGAATTCACCACCCTAAGTCCAGAACGAGGGGGTTCTTTCTGAATGTACTCCTCCTCCTCCTCAGTGGACCCTCTCACTGTCCTCCTGCTGACCTCCTGCTCCAGCTCCAGGATCTCAGACAAGACCCAGGAAGGGATGCAGTTGGAGGCCCTGAAACTAATCCTGGATTCTGTTCTTTCCAGGGGCACAGTCTGACTCTGCCCGGAACAAGACCTTGACTGGGGTCGGGGGCTTCGTGCTGGGGCTCATCTTCCTTGTAGTGGGCGTCTTCATGCACAAGAGAAGCAAGAAAGGTAAGAAAGCCAGGAGGAGACTGAGGCTTGCCTTCCTGGCTTCCTCATCTGCATATTGAGGGACTGAGACAGGAGAGCAGTGCTGGAGAGTTCTAGAAGCCACTGAAATCAGATCGTCAAAGCAAGATGGCCTGTTGGGAGGGAGGAAAGCCCAGATGACAAGGTCTGGTGCTCAGGCTCATGTGGGGACTGTATAGTGAGGGGCACTGGAAGGTGGGATAAGGGTTTCTCTCATTCTGGGGCGGTTTTAATGGCTGAATGCATCCCCTTTCCTCCTTTCATTCCAGCTCAACGAGGACCTTGATAAACAGGTAACACTCCTCTGTTTCCTTGAGGGACTGGGTTGCAGAAGGATTAGGTGTTGTCCTTGCATTGTGACTGACCACAGGGAAGAGGGTCGCAGGCCTGAACTTCCCTCTCAGCCTCAGCCCTTGAGTGAGTGTGGGCAAAGGGCCGTCCTTTACTCCACTGGGGATGGAAGCTCAGGAAAACAGGTTTTTATCAGGCTAAGACTCAATCTTGTAAAACCCTACCTTTTCTGTCCTGGGGCTCAGAGGAAGAGGGCTCACCAACCTGGGATGACTTTTTCTCCACCCCACAGGGCTCCTGATCTTACCAGAAGACTCCCTGTGCCTTGGAACAAGAATTTTTCTGCGTTTCTTTAGTCCCTGAGGCTGATTCTGGGGCAAATTCCCAGCCTCCCAAAGGATGTTACTGTCAAGTAATTGCTCTGAAACCAGAGTCTATAGCTCTGCTCTTTGACTCAATGCAGTTTCCTGAGGCCTTCAACCAAGTTCCTTCCTCCTGAACTCCATAAATAATCAAAATCCAACATGGTTGTTTGTTTTCTTTTAAGAATATGCAGTGAGTCATCTCTGCCATTGCTTTTGTGTGCGGGTTTTGGTAAACAGAGATAATGGAGAAGTTCATTGTCATGTACACACAGGCAAGAGGAAAACATAAAAACAGGGATATACTAACTGTTGCATAAGGTAGCCAACTGGACATGGACTTCTTCTGAATTTACTATATTTATATTATGGGCTGCCCATAATTGTGTTTGCCCCTTTCATCTATGTAGGTCTGGGACCATGATTCCTAATTTCTTTGGTGAGCAGACAGTGACTCTGAACATGAATATGGCTATGTGACCTATAGTCACCAATTCAACATATATCTTATTAAGAGCATGTTTCACCATTATCAGCTAAGAAATAAGTTAAAAATCAAAATTAAGGATTATAAGTATAATTAATAAACTTTAAACATTTTCATTGCATGCATAATAAATACTGGTTAAGCAAGTATGGCTTAACATTTTGAGTACAAAAAGTAGAAGATACAGACTTATTCTTGAAATTTGTATTCCTCAGCCTACCCAGACCTCTAATCCTAATAATTTGTACAGTGGGAAATCCCAGTTGTTAAAAGACAAATCAGTACATGTAGCAATTTTTCAAACACAGGACTTCTTTTTACAATACAAAATTATTCTTAGTTTCATATTTCACATTAGGTTCTCTTTAAGTCTAGATAGAGGACATGTCTGGACTAAACACGTTTTTTTGGGGGGGGGCAGGAGGATGGGGTACTAGGCATTGAACCCAGGGTCACTTTACCACTGAGCTACATCCTAGCCCTTTTTATTTTTTATTCTGAGACAGGGTCTCACTGAGTTGCTTAGGGTCTCTCAATAAGTTGCTGAGGTTGGCCTCAAATTGCAGTCCTCCTGCCTCAGCCTCCCAAGATGCTGGGATTACATGCGTGTGCCACAAGCCCAGCTATGCACATCTTGAGTGCTCTACAGCTCTTGACACACAAAGCGGTCACCTCCCTGTCCCTGGCTTCATAGAAGCAGTTTCTGGGTCCATATACTTCTGGACACCTGTCCCTGGTCAGTTCCTACAAGCTACAGCAATCTTCTCTCAGTCTCCTTTCACTGTGCCCTGAATCTGGGGACGAGACTCCCCATTTCCAGGAGAGGTTAGGGCTGAAGGTGGAGATTAGGGCATCATTGATACGGGAGTAACTGCTGCCTTGGGTTGTGTAGTAATTTCAGCTGTCACATAATGAGGACGAGGACAGTGTTCAGCAGACAAATGAGGACCCTTTATCTCTTTGTTTTCCTTTCTAGATTCAGAGCCACCACATGAGAAGTCTATGTAGCAGAAAAATAATATGATTATAACCCTGCCATTCAAACACAGAAACAGGCCATGAGAATTTGAGAAGTCTTAAAATCAAGATCACTATTAAATCTCTAGACATAGAATGTGTAGATTCCTCTGTGCCTTCAGGCACTGAATATTACAAAACATATCTGACTGGAATCTTCCCCAACCAGCCTCACCCACTGCGCCACAGGCCAGGGGGCAGGACCAGGGTGGACCCACTGTGGTTTCTGCATGCTCATTGGGGATCCAGGATACGTGCCTCTAGGGCACTTGGGTACAGGAAATGGGGAAGGCCCTGCAGCTACAGAAAACAGGCATCAGGCAGGTCCAGCTCTCACACAACCAGGTATGTGTTGGTCTCTGGGATTTCTGTGGAAGGACGCAGTGTAGGGAGAAGTCCCAAGGAGACAGGTGTGAAGACCACCCAGTGTGGGGGCCACCTGTTATCAAAATTCCAACAACATTTACTGGATACATTGTATGTGTCAGGCTCTTTGCTAGATGCTAAGTCTGAGTAGGATCAAAAATAGGCAGGAATAGGACAGGTCTTGGGTACATCAGTCCCATGACTGCTTTGAGGGACACAGAGATTCAAGGGAAAGTGGAGACTAGAGTTTTAAAGCAGAGCTGAAGCTGGCGAAGTGCCAATGTCCTGTTCTGTCACAAAAGACACAACAGGGTTAGGATTCCCAGGTTAGTGCCATACCTCTGTCCTTTTACACCTAACACCTGGCCTCTCATGTTCTGCCCCTCCTAACGAGAAGGTCGTCTTCTTAGCCTGACATATGTTGCTGCCCCAGGTGATGGTCACAGAGAGTCAGGGATACCCTCAGGAGATGTCATTTCTCCTCTTGGGTTCCCCTATCACATGGCTGCATCCAGCTGCAAATGAGTTGGTATCCTTGAAAGTAGCGATTACTCAGTAACTGCATATTACATAAATAATACACGTGAGGACCTGCCACCTATATTCCATCCCCACCCCGTCTTGCATAGGTGATGGGAATGGAGTGCCTCCTGGTGGAATGGGCTGGCTGCGCAGAATAAAAGCTAAGAAAGACAGAGAGTCGGAAAAACCACAGGACCAGGAAATATTTTTAGAAAATGGGGGCAGGACGACCTATCCAATCAAATGGATGGAGCTTCCACACTAAAAGAGAGCAAAATGGAGCCCACGCTTGCTTTATTTACATCAGGAACATCAAAGGGTTTCCATGGAATGTTCTTTGCCAAGTAAGGTAGGAGGTGGGCTGTCCAGTTCCCAATGGGTTACACCCAAATCTGGAGCCAGGAGAGGGGTCTTCCTAGTAGAGCAGAGATAGAGGTCATGTGTCTTGGGCAGTCTAATGTGCGTGGGGAGCCGGGACAGTTCCCAAGGTTAACCCTAAATCATCATGGCTCCATACCAAGAGAAGATCTTCAAGTAGTTCACGGGTGGCTCCCTGCATTACAGGAGGACCTACCATGTAGTAGGAGCTCTGTTGGGCTTTATGGATAAAGGGAACTTATGTTCCTAAAAGATTATAAACTACCTGCCGCCCTGAGGGGCTCAGGGTTGCTAAGGATGCTCTATTTCCTGGCACAGCTACTAGTTACATGGCTGTCTGCCTTTATAACCATTGGCTGTACATTGTATTGTTTTATGTGTTTCATGAAAATGTCCTCTAGTTCACAGTAAAAGGGTTAAAAAACAGGTAAAGCAAGATATTGATAATTTGAAGCAAAAACAAAAGTCAATAAATCTAGCAGAAAACTGGATTTTAAAGTGGAATGGAGATTCCTCAGAAAACTTGGATTGGAACCACTGTTTGACCCAGCTATCCCACTTCTTCACTTATACCGAAAGGTATAATAACATCAGCATATTACAGTGACGGAGCCACCTCAATGTTTATAGCAGCTCAACTCAGAATACCTAAACTATGGAACCAACCTAGGTGTTCTTCAACAGATGAATGGCAAAAAAAATGTGGTATATATACATAGGATGGAATATAACTCAGCCTTAAATAAGAATGAAATTATGGCATTTGTTGGTAAATAGATAGAGCTGGAGAATATCATGTTAAGTGAAATAAGCCAATTCCAAAAACCCAAAGGCCGAATGTTTTCTCTGATATGTGGATGCTAATTCACAATGTGTGGGGTGGGGGAACACTAAGGTACAATAGAGTTACTTTATATTATATAGAGGGGAGTGAAGTAAAGGGAGGGGAGGGGATGTGGCAGTAGATAGTAGAATGAATCATACATTATTACCCTATGTACATATATAACTATATAGCTGGTGGGATTCTCCATCATGTATAACCAGAAGAATGAGAAATTATACTCCATTACATGATGTATCAAACTGCATTCTACTGACATGTATAATTAATTAAAACAAAATAATAGTTGGAATAAAGAACATAATAGATGATATAACTGGGACTTTTGCAACTGAAAAATAATACATAAAAATCACACTGAGGAACTTACCCTAGAGCAGTATGAAAGATTAAATAATAGAAAATAGAAAAGAGACATGAAAGATAGAAACAAAGATTCTGACATCTTGGTAACTAAACATCTGGAAAGTAAGAGAAACATAGGTAGAGAGAAAATCACCAAAAAAAAATGAAATTCTAAGCTTTAAAGAAAGATAAGCAAGCTGAGCACAGTGGCACATGCCTGTAATCCCAGTGGCTCAGGAGGCTGAGGCAGGAGGATTGCAAGTCTGAGGCCAGCCTTAGCCACTTAGTGAGGCCCTAAGCAACTTAGCAAGACCCTGTCTCTAAATAAAATGTAAAAGACACCTGGGAATATGGCTCAGTGGTTAAGTGCACCTGGGTTCAATCCCCAGTACTATTAAATAAATAAACAGGAAAAAATGAAATAATTTAGTTGAAAATAGTACATAGAACTACAAATAGATGGTCTTTTTTTTTAAAAAAAAAATTATTAGGAAAGTGTGAAAACGAATGACCTAAATGATTGAAAAGTTTTTAAAAAGTGTCCCTTTGTTATGCAACTATTAAAGAGGAAAGAAAAATTCAATGAAATAGAAAAACAAGAGGATAAAAACAAAATCCAATTCTGAATCAATTCAAAGTTTAATGAGGTCAACAGATTTCAAGAAAGCCTACTGTGGAAAATGTAGGGGATCCAAAATAAAATAGGAAAATGGTTATACATATAGATACTTTAAATGAAAATATTTATGACCAACTTTATGCCTATAAATTTGAAAATTAAGAGTGATACATTTCTCATACATTCTATGTATGTATTATATGTCAAAATACATTCTGTTGTCATGTATGACTAAAAAATAAAAATAAATCGTATGGTAAAAAAAGAGTGATACATTTCTAGAAATACATAAATATGAAAACAACAAGAAGAAATGGAAAACTAAAATAGAAACATCAAAGAAACTGGAGTGTTTTTTTCCAGTGTCACCCCTTGCCCTGGGTGCCTGTCCTGATAACATCCCAGGTGGATGGGTCCTACCACACTTGAGGAAGAGAGCATGCCTCTCCTACCCATGCAGCTTGGAACACACAAAAAAAAGACTAAAGCTTCCAGATCATCTTAGAAAGCATATGCATCCTTATTTCTTTTTTTCCTAAATTTAAAAAATGTGTTCTAATTAGTCATACATGATGGTGGAATA